GACAAAGCGGATGAAGAAGATGGATGGGTTACCACAGATGAAGGGAGCCATTAATCTGAAGGAGTCCTAGTGGGCTTGGTTAGCCTGTGGGACTCTGGAACCAGCAGGCTACGTGGAACGCCGCTTGGCCAATGGCTGAAGGGAAAGCTCAGGTGAGGGAGGAGTTTGCGTCTGCCTTGAAGCGATTCTGGCAAACTGTGAGGCAGTTTACAGGGTAAAGCAGTTTAAAGTAAAGCATTTCTCCCTCTTATTCACACATCAATTCTGTCACATTTCTACTGCAAAAGAGGGTTTTCTCTGTATTTTTGTAGTGTTTACCTGACAATATAAAATGCCTTGAGATAACTGGTGTTATCACAAAATTGTCTGCACCTCATCAGTGAACGTGTCCATCGTCACTGCAAACAAGAAGGGGCTCGGAGCAGATCCCTGATATAATCCCACCACCAACTTCAACTCATGTGTAACTTCTACTACAAACCTTACCACCAGCTTTTTGTCTCCATACATGTACTCCACCATCCTCACATACTTTTCTGCCACACAGACTATGCAGTACCACAGTTCCTCTCTTTGCACCCTATCATGTGCTTTTGCTATATCCATGAGGACTCAGTGAAGCTTCTTCTGACCTTCTCTAAACTTCTCCATCAACATTTTACAAGCAAACATCACGTTTGTAATGCCCTTTCTTGCCATGATGCCACACCTCTCTCTTACATTCAACAACCCTGTCATGCAACAATCATGTCCCATAGCTTCATGGTCTGGCTTATCAGCCCTGTCTAGCCTCTACAGCTCTACACATCACCTTTGTTCTTGAAAATCAGTACCAGTACATGTCACACACTTCTTCATTCCTCAGGCATCCACTTTTCCAGATTGTGTTAAACAATCTGGTTCAACAGTCCACTGCACTCTCTGCTGGTGATCGCCACACTTCCACATGCTGTTTGTACCAACAGCCCTTCCTCTCTTCATCGTTGTCATAGCTGCCCTGACTTCCTGCTACTGATCCTCTTTGATGTGGGATTGGGATTAAGCATTAGTACACTGTCTTGTAGACTTGTTAACTTTTGAATTGAAAAAAAAATGTTCACATTTTGCAAAGTTTTTGTTGGTGTCTGATTATTTATGACATATTATAGTTGATTGCTGATTGGAGAGCTCTCTGTGAATTTGTGGGCCTAGGAGTCCAACAAACTGTAGAACCATAATTTTCACAGCCTGCAAAATGTGATCCACTGAAGTGGATTTGAGATCCCTTCCCAGACGCCTTAACGCCCACTCACATCCTGGGCCATCTGACCTCAGGAATTTGCATGACAAGGTGGGGCCAGGTTTCACAATGAAC